GGCAGCTGAGGGCTGTCCTGCTGAAACAGCACATGGCCGAGCAGCAGATGCATTTGTCCTGTGGCCACGGTCACAGCACCAACCCTCCTTCTTCCGTTCTGTGCTCACCTCTCTCTTCTCTCAGTCATGAAATGAAATACTGTCTTCTGGCTAGCCACTGCAAGGCACAGCTCCACAGCACCACAAGGGCTCCTCCATGATGCACCCTCTTCTCTTTGCACTGCCTGATTCTTCACAGACAAGAGTGGTTGTGAGATAGTACAACGTATGTAACATCATTTTTTTCTGAAGAGTTATCCCATTAAAAATGTTGTGGCTGCAGATCTTTTGTCTGACTCGTCCCACTGAAAGGACAGAAGAGAGCACTACGGAGGGCAGTTTTGGCTGGATGCGAGAGGCAGGCTGCAAGATGGTGGCTCTGCCCCTGGTGATGGCTTTTCACTCCAACGAAGGAAAAATACCTCTCAGTTCATTGAGAGCACAGCCTTGGGTGGGTTTCTCTCAGTTTCAGCCATTGTCTCACATGACACTTCTCTAATGATGGAGAAGTCCAGCTGCTTTGTTAATACCACATTCCTTCTCCTCCGCACTGAGCAGGAATGGCACTGAGATGCTCTGGGCCTTAGGAACTGCAGGAATCTAACAGAGCAATAGGGTCTCTAGCCCAGCCCATTGGTCACAGACATTTTAGAACAACACCAGCACGCCGGGCAAAAAGACGAGTACACTCCCCTCTTCAGAACACCTGGGGAATGTATAATTGAGGAAATACGCCACTGGCCATATCAGAAGTGGGTGAAATCTGCTTATCTGCATTTACCCTCGGAAACACCTCTGCTTCTGAAGAAAGGACGGATCCACAGATCCACAGCATTAGAGAAAGATTTGTTAAGGCTTCAGTGTTCTTTTGTAAAGAATGATGCTTGAGGATTTTTGTCCTTTATGCATTTCTACCCAGCCTGATGTAACTGTCACCTGAATAATTACCTACACTGGGCTCTACCCATCTCCCTCCAGCAAGGAATTACACAGTGAAATTTGCATTACAAGCAATTTACTTCCTTTTATCCATTCTTAATTAAATGAAACATCCTACCTAGGGTAAACAAAGTCTGTGCTTTTCAGTCTTTTGCCATTATTTCACAGAGCTGGGGTCACCAAAAAAAAAAAAAAAAAAAAAGCCCCATCAGAGGAAAGGCGTGACTCAGCCTCTGTAAGGTCAACAAAGCCCTTCAGTGGTAATAAACTGGCAGTCTGATGCTTTAGTTTAAATATTTGAGGCTTGTGTTTATTTCATAGGTGGGAACTATTTGCAGATCTTGCAGGATGTAGTTCACTGTAATTCCGCGTGCTGCCAGAACACAAATAAACAAGCACAGCCCCAGGACTCCGAGCAAACCTCCAACACCCCACTGAACAAGAACAGCCAGGTCTCAGCCGCAGAAGAGGACGGCAGCGTTTCGGAGGCCTTGCTGTGACCAGCCCTGCTCTGCCTCCATCCAGCCCCACACGGGGCTTTCTGTGCAGGGCAGAGGGGAGCGCTCCCGTGCTGCCCCTAAATGTGCTTGGCTGTGGGGTGGGGAGCAGAGGCTTGCACTAAGACTGCACTTCCAGGCAGAAAGAGTAAGGCAAGAAAGGCAAAATAACAGAGATTTAAAAGATTTTTTGGTTTGCAACAACCCGTCATCCCCACACCTTTGCTGTGAGCTAGTGTTGAGCTCCTCACACACCTTTTGTCCAGCATTGCTGCTGTGCTGACTTTTCCATCAGAGAAATACCCTGCTGTCCTGGCTTCCCCCTCAGCCAAGGGAGAAAAGGCATGTTGAAAGAGCTCAGCTTTCCTGCTAACATTCTCTATAGATGCCACACACCTCTAAAGTTACTCCTAAGAGCATCTTCTTAGCTGTTAATTTGTGAAACATACTTGAAAGTGCAACAACAAATAAATACCTGGTAGCTGCAAGTAGGAAATTAGCAGCAGCTTAAAGCTGGACCACTGCAGGTGAAGGTTTCTTATCCAGACTAACCAACCCATCACTCTTTTACTCACTCCTCTTCAGAACCTATTTTCACTTGGTAGAAAAGACAGAAAATAAGTTTTGGCCAAATTCAAACAAAGAAACTTCCCGGCCTGAAGATGAAGGAAAAAAGCAGCCACTCACGACAACTGCTGGCTGCTATTTTTTGACCCTGAAAAATATTTGCTGACCTCAACTTTGCTTTCTTCCAAGAACGATTTCCCTGTGTTTGCTTCCAGTGGTGACCTACCACAAATTGCTTTCCTGACCCTGCCTGTTCTGCCCCAGTAACACCAACCCAGTGTGTGCCTCTCGCCTGGTGCTCTGGAGCAGGTTAGGGCCCACGGCTCAGTTCAGCCACGCACAGCAGAGCCCCCAGCCCCGCACGCATTTCCACTGGGGTGGCTTGGTGATTTATCCCTCCCTGCTCCTCCAGCTAGTGGGCCTTGGCGCTGAGGGCAGAATCTGAGGCTATTTCTGCTGTAAAACAAACAAGAAAATGTATATATATATATATTTTTTTTTTAACATGGTATGAGCTCAGAAGTCAAAAACATGGGGGGTCCAATTCCTTTGTATTTCTTTGCATGCTGAGCTCGATGACATGAGACAGAGCACAGTGCTAAAACCCACGGGAAACCGGTGCTGTCTGCTGAGGAAACTTTGGATAATGCAGCATCCTCCCTTCTGTGTCCAGGATGACTTTTAAGGCTCCAGCCACGAGTGGGTGATTCTGAAATAACTCAAAAATGGAATGAAGGTGGCTGTAAAACAGTAATCCTGTTACCAAAGCAGTGGCTTCACCTTCTGTCACAGATCTTTCTCCATGAGCAAACAAATTCACACATGGGAATAGTTTTTAATAAACTGGCCACTTTTCTCCCAGGAATAATGCAGCTTCCCAAGCGTGAACTCATTTAGCAGAGCCATTTATGTGCTCCATGAGCCGGATGACTTGCGTGGGACAGAAGGTATTTTGGGCAGCACTTGTTATCTACAACAAGAAAAAAACCACCAGATCCCACTGTCTGTTCCCTACAGCACTCAGTTATGTGAGAGATCTCGTATTTAAATGTCCCCAGTGAAGGGTGATGTGCAACATCCACAGACATGAGGAGGACAGGAAGAAGTTTCAGCGAGCTAACTAACTGCAGGTGTGATTCTAGACAGGTGTGTTTAAAGTAGCACAAACCTGCACGTGGACAGGAACCGCCATTTAGTTTAGCTCAAGAGAAAGTTTAGGTAAACTCAAGTGAGAAATCCAAACAGATTGTACCAATTTAATTAAATCGACCAAAAATAAAATCAGTTTCAGATGATGATCTGGCACCACTTTCTTGCGCAGACAAGGTGTTTCTGCCATCTGTGCAGCTCCACGAACACCCACAAATCTTGCAAGGAGGTGGGGAGGCCAGACTTTCTGGATAAGAATAACGCAATCACCTGCAGCATTGAACGACACTGGTTGATTTCTGGGTGCTCCAGCTGAGTAAGTATTAGGAGCTTCCATCTGAGCAGTGACAGCTGTCCCTCTGAGGATAGCTGCCCCTGGTCCAGCAGCCACGGCACGAGCAGAAAATATCCCCTGAAAGGGAAAACTCCCTGAGCTGGCTGCTCTCTGCCCTCCGAGGTGAAGCTGGGGCTGCCTCACAGAAAGGTAACTTCATCCTGATCCAAGGGCCAGTGCCAGATGCTCGCTTCCCAGTGTGGGCTGCTGCCTGCTGGCAGCCCCAGCACAGCCTCATGCTCCCTTTGAGCAGGGGGTATCACTGATCTCCCGTCTCTGAAGCACAGATAACAAGATTGATTTGGATGCAAAGTGAGCCTGCCACACAGCGGACACTTCACCCTTGTTGTGCCATCCTGTGGCAAGGACTGCCTCCTTCCCGGTGATGTAGGCTTGTTGAAGGGACATGATCTATGGGTTCAGGAGGAACAACAAGTTTGCACTTCAATTACAGAACCCTGCGGGAGAGCAGAGACCTAGTTCTCTACGCAGAGCTTCTCAGATATTCTACCAAAGGTGGGATGGGGAGAAGGACAGCAGGAAGAAGGGGAACGGCATAAGGTCAGCCCTCTAAACCAGCTGATCCTCAGGTGCTGGCATCCCCAGAGAAGCCCCACAGCAGTGTGACACCAGGTCTCCACTGCTCTGCCCACAGTGTGTGGTCTGCCCCAGGACAGAGGCACAGAGCGGTCCGTAACGTACCTGGGCAGGACAAGCTCTGCTGCCAGCTATTTCATTTAAGAAGCACACACAAAGAAAGCTACGCAAGACGTAACAGATGGAGGAGAGGCAGCCACAGGGTACCAGAGATTGTGTAACTGCATCGATCACACCGGGGAACAAAGAACCGGCTGCAAAGGGAGCAGCAGTACACGAACGCTGCTCCTGTAGCTGTGCCAACTACGTACAACAATGCAGCCTGAAGAAGGAAGTAAACAGAAGCAGGGTGGAGGGGGGAGCTATGGAAATATAGACAAAAGAGCAGGAGAAGTGACGGGGCAGCGATACCTCATGCCCCGGGCTTTCAGCAGTAACTCGCAATACAAAGCAGGAAGGCAGCAGCAGAGTGCACAAGGCAGCGTCCCGTGGGAGCCACTGTTTGTGCAGCAGGAACCAGGGACACCCCTTATTTTGTAGGGCTGCCCAGGCACCAGACACGTCCTTTATTTTGTAGGGCTGCCCTCTTTTTCCAAACACTGTCTCAGGTCTCCTCCAGCAGGCAGCTGCGCCTTTAGCCCGCGTTCTCCTCTCTGAGGGCCAGCAGCTGCCTCTCGGACTCATTCCTAACACAGGTCACAATTCCCCTCCACGCATGGGGGCCGAGACAGGAGCCCCAGGTGGCCACGGGGCCCAGAGAGCTACGGGAAGGCCCCTGGGCACCACTACCATGACGCTCGGCAGCCGGCAGAGCCAAGGCAAAGAGGTGGGTTGGGGACGGAGGGAGGGAGTGGGGAGGGCAGCGAGGGGAGCAGTACCTCAGCCGGCATCTTCTCACTGCTCTTCCCACCTGGGGCTGCCAGGGCTTTTCCCACGTGAGCTCCTTTCTGTGGTGGCCCCAGCCCTGCTGCTCTCTCCCTGGAGCCCTGCAGAACTTGCGTGGTTTCTCACGTCCCGGCCGCAGCGAGCGGCAGCAGCACTGAGGCAGGCGAGGTCGCTGAGAGCACTGTGCTCACACCGGGAGTTGGCTGGGATGCTCGGAGCCCGTTTGGGAGGGTTTGGCATCAGATAAAGCAGTGTAAGATGGATCCTGCAGCTGCAGAAAGAATTGTGACAGGATGGCTCGGTACAACATAGCTTGGATTTGCAGCCTGTGCTTTCATGTTTTTAGCCAGGTACCTTATATCCAGGCTGCTACAGCTGATGTCTAACACAGGCACAGAATAACAGCCCTAGAGCATGCCACAAACTCCGCAAGAGTCAGGCTTACAGAGCCTCCAGGCATCACTGAGAGGTGAATTTCTGGGTGCTGGAGAGTCAGTGCTCATACATTAAGCAAAAGAAGGAGTGATAGTTTAGTAAAGGTTCATTTTCTGGCCAGCCCTGATCAGTGACAGTGAAAAATGGCACTTTTAAGTGAGTAAACACAGTGGGAACGACTCTACAATGGCTTGTAAAATCAGGGAAAAAAATCCATTTTATTGCTGTAGCCAGCTACGCTTATGCTTTTCACAACTTTCATTCTTTTAAAGTCTTTGTGTGAACAGCTCGCAGCAGCCACGTAAAACACTGAACAGTTTGTTGCAATCGTCTGGCAGGTCCTTGATAGCAACGTACATCCCTGGTGATTGGTATGAATGATGATACTGCCCACGTGCATCAACCTCCATGCCCAGGAAAGGAGACTGGGTATCCTGGGGCTGGATCAGTGCCTCTGCCAAGGACTGCCAGGAGCACCCAGTCCAGATGGGCAAGCAGGGAGAAGTGGGAACTTACAGTTGCCTGAGCCTTCACTAAGTTGTTTTTTTTTTTTTTAAAAAAAAAAAAAAAGAAAAAAGAAAAAAAAAAAGCTTTGTGCTTGCTCCAAGACACCAGTATTTCTGCAGTGACCTTTAGGCATTACTCCTCTGCCAGAGATTTGTCTCTGGGGTGCTTCCTCTTCTTGTGCCATGGTTGAAGCGACAAAGGTTTGTTCATCTATGTTACAGTAACAGAAAAATGTTCCCCAAAACAATGTTCTGGAGTACAGTGGTTGGCTGCTTTTTGGTTCGGTGTGCCTTTAACATGGATGAGCAGTCCTTTTGCTTTCCCACCTACACTGAGGCCTCAGTAAGTACAGTCATGACACAACTCTTCTTTCTCAGTCATCTTCTTTCTATGCTATTCTTTTTCTTAACTCGATTCCCACTGAACCTAGAGTGTTTTCAGTATTTTTAGCTGTGACTTTCAAAGGCTGCCAAAAGATAGCTGAAAAGTACAGAGCAGTGTGATTAATGCTCTCAGCATTTCTTCATGTTTGGCTCAGTGTTGGAGGAACTTCAATGTGGAAGCATAGCAGAAATCACTAGCAACCATTTCATTGGGGCTTTTCATTCAGATTTTTGCTATACTGTTGGTCTCTGTAATTTTCCTCCCCAGCTATCTAGCTGGGGTGCTAAAATTGCTGGGAGCACCAAGGGAAGAACGTGGTGCTTGTAGATGCTGTTTTCTTCCCACTGTCTTGTCACAAAAACATTGGATTGAGAACAAACTGGTGCTCAGTTTGGTTTACTGAGTGTTAAAATGTTAGCTTACAGTGTGCTGGAATAATGAAAGAGACAAAAATTTCTCATCCATTACTGCAGGCACTTCACCAGCAAGCCATAAATGTAACTTTGGATTCCAAAGCAAAAAAGAAAAAAAAGACAGTAACAGTGTATAAGCAGGATCCTACCTGTATTTACAGGAACTGTGCATGTAGGGCTGAACAGGTACAGAAGAGCTATGTGTCTCCTCGGACTGATGCCTTGCAAGCCTGTTGTATGTCTTGGGTAGAAAAGGAAAGTCAGGTAGCAGCTAAAACTCAGCAAGAATAATGCACTGCAGGTCCACTGAAGCTCCAAGGAGCCCATCTAGTTTAAACCAGCTAAGAACCTGGCTTTATTTTACTTGGCACTGGGGACCTCAATTTTTACTGATGAAAAAACAAGTTGTTTTAAACAAAAACTGAGCCTCTGTGTCCTTTGCACAGTAATGTGCAAATCTGTATTGGTTGGCAGTGAGAACTGTGAATGATTTTTGATGCTATCTGGCTGAGCACTGTTAGTATTGTAAGGCTCGTTGGTTGTTTTTTTTTTTCACTTAATAACAGTTTTAAAAGAGAAATTGGCTCATGCTTCAGGGAACTTTCTGAGAGGTTTACAAATTACGTGGCCCAAGTCATGGGAAAGAAGTTACTAATCGCCTGCTAATCACAAAGCCAATAATTGTCATAGGGCCACAGTGACGGAGTGGGAGCCACAGGAGGGGCTCAAGTCTGCACCCAGCCACTGGGCAAGGCCCTGATTTGCACCTGGAGGGGGGAGTTGGGTCCTGCAGGTGAGGATTCTCTGTAGGACACAGAGGAACACAGGCACCTGCAGGGATGAACCGCCCCATCCTCCAGAATGTGAGGAGGAGCACACACCTCCTTCCTGAGGTGCCTCATATTCCTTCACCAATTGCGTAAGGAGCTGAGACAACACAGCCTGCTCCTAAATGAGGTGAGTTCTGCTCCTAAATGAGATGAGCTCTAACCCCAGATCAGTGACTCCTTTGAGACTTCAGGTGGGTTTTAAGGCTTATTTCATTCCAACAGCTAAAAAGCCATGCAAAGTAACCATGCAAAGCCTGGCAGGCAGAAGGAAAATACTTCTGGAAAACAGATCTTGAAGCCTGAGACCTCCAACCACATGTCAAGACCAGTATTGATCAGTGGTAGCACAGGAAACAGGTGAGAGTATAGATGTGCACACAATAAAATAGCATTGATTCTGTACAGACACACACTGCTCTGGAAGCAATACACATATTTGTGGCCATACGTGTTTAGGTTGAGGGCAGCATACAGCAGAATGAACTCACCACAGAGAAGGAAACACCGTGTGGCTCTGCTTAACACCACCGTTGCTCCAGTGCTGAACTGAAGAGCTGTATTTTCAAGCTAGGCATAGGGTGCCTGTGCCAAAAGCATCTTGAGAAATCTGTTCCCTGCCTTCCAACACAAGCAGTAACCTCCCCTATAGCAGAAGACAACAAGGAGGAGAAGGTAGCTTCTCAAAGAGAGACAATTAGTAAAGGCTTTCCATTTTCAGACAGAAAAGTGCTGTGGGTGGTGAAGTGATGCTGCCTGACGCCCCTTCCACGTGCCGTCCCATCCCTGCCCCTGGATGCACTGCCACTCCCTTTACATCAGCAGGAAGCCACCAGAAACGCACATTTGCTGCTCACTGGCTTTCAACATGGAAGGAAATGGGAAACGTACGCAGCAGTGTTGCTAAGCAATATGAAATTGTGCTCTGCTCCAGCACAAGGCTTGGCACACACATTTAAGTTGCACCAAACTCCTTGGCACGCCTGCTCAGCTTTGCCATTTCCTCTTTTTGCACCCTCTAACAGGCATACACAGCATAACTTGTTTCAGGATAAATATACTGCCGACACTTCAAAATCTCAGCTACATCTGTGCATCACCCAGTCTCTCCCTTAGGCCAATTTATATGGATTGAACTGGGCCTTACACCCGACCCTTAGTAACATACTCAATTTGAACTAGAAGTCCACATTTGCCCAGTAGATCTTAAGTGCTCTCAGTAAATGTCTATTTTGTGTGGAGTCCCACTGAACTGCCAAACATCAGCGTGAGAACCCCTGTTCTATGATTTTTTTTTTCAAAAACAAATGGATTTTACAACTGCTTGTAGCCAGAATTTTCAAGGACCAACTGCATTTTGGTTAGTGTCTTTACAAGCAGTCAGAGCAGAAAATTCTAAAGAATAAATCTTAAAAAAAAAAAAAAAAAAAAAAAAAAAAAAAAAAAAAAGGAAAAACATTTATTAGAATTTCTCATCGCTAGAAATCAGGAGCATTTTCTTCCTGTCCCCTTGCTACAGGGCAGCATTCCTCCCTTCCTCCTGTGCTCCCTCCACCAAACCAAGCCAGGCTGGTGTTCACCTGCGTGTTCTCCAGTCTCAGAGTCTCAGATGAGTGCAATGAGGTTTTTTAACCTACCAGTTACACAAAGCTTCTGCATCACAAGAGAAGGTGTCAAAATAGGCTGTATGCTTAACATTGATGGCATAAAACAGAACTGTGCCTGAAATTTATACAATTAAGATATTAAAAATGCCTAAATGTATTATGCATTTATTTACATAGAGGAAACAATGCTTTTGCTGTATTTGCCTTCAGGGACTAGTGCACAAAATGAGTTTACTTACAGGAATGAGAACACAAAAATAGCATTTTCTAAGGAAACGGGAAATATTTGCTGCTCGTTCTCTGCAAATGCAAATCAAGCTGCTACAGAGAGGGATAGGATATTTAAGGCATGTGGAGTTGCGTGCAATCAAAATTAAGCAAGTCTGGTGTAGGTGTCAAGAGTCCATCCTTGCGATGAACTCACAGACTGCCACCCTTATCCCTTTGTTCAGATCATGTTTTAAAAAAGGAAACACCTCCAAAAATGAGCATAGCCTATGAACAGTATAGGAACTACAAGAGAGATTATGTTATTCACATAAATTTCTTTCTACAAATTATCAAGTAGTTATCAACTATTCTACTATTATTGTTGTTAATGCAATGTTGAAGTAGAAAAAATTGGGAATAGGCATTGTCCTGTTTGCCTTCAAAATCCAAATTGCAAGAAGTTGCTAATCTTTTCTAATCCTTCTTAAATCCATATGACAACACGTTCGTGGTAGCTCTGTGCTTACACAGGGCCACTCCCAATAGTCAAAAACTATGAACAGAACTATAAAAATAATAAAAATATTAAAAATAAATGTACCTAGTTGATTTGTTTTCTGTTTCATGCTCTTTTGGGATGTATTTGGAATTATTTCAAGATTTTTTTTTTTAATGCAACCGAAATGACAGAAACATCCTTAACTTTAAGGAAGCAGAGAATACAAACTGAACTTTCACAACATTATTCACTACCAGCATGCCTGGAGCTAGGGATTTAGGGAAAAGCATTAATTATTACATGGCTCATGAGAAATTTGACAGTCCTGCTGCATCTTAGGTCACTGCCATCCCCATGATGGAACGCACCGGTTAGATAGATAGCCCCCTCCAGCCCCCATCCCCACGGCTCACTTCAATGCCACAGCAGTCTCACTGACGCCACAGGACTAAAATCAAGGCTGCAAGTGATTGCTTGCAAGGTCAAGGTCTTGCTGTCCCAGGAAGCCACTTTAATTACATGTAATTACAGTCAGCAACATACAACCGCTCCAATCCATCAGCTACAGGTCAGCTGTCCACTGGGGCGTGACCCGACTCCCAGAGTCACAGCAAACTGCAAAGGAGCTTTTTCTAGAGATGCAAAGCCAGTGATCATTATGGGTGCTAAGGAAACAGTCCCCGCTGGATCTAGGGCATTAACCTGCATTTCAGGGCACAATGAAGAACTAACGCTTGTTCAATGCTAGTCACATCAGTAGTGCAGAGGATATAAGCCCACGAACCACGTTTTAAGCCATTATTTCTTTCTGTGAGCTGTCTGCTTAGCAAATTGGAAGCTTTTCAGTGTTTCATACAGGCTCCAAGAACATTTCACTTTACTCATCGAACATTAAAGAGGCCACCCAATAGGAGTTTTACATCATTCTTGGCACAGAAGCAATATTCAGTGGTTGGGACAGAAAAGAGCAAGAAGAGTCTCACTGCACTTCTGATAAACCTGAAAAGCAATATGATTCTTTGGGGAGGCTGGTGAAAACATGAGGCTTTTGGTTTTTTTTTTGCTTGTGAGAGCCGGGGAACAACGGGGCAGCTTCCAAATGGAGGCTGGGAAGTTGCAGGGCACGGAGGCTGCCCACGGGACTGGTGCCCATCAGCTCAGAGGAAGGCAGCTGCCACATGGGAGCCAGGAGACAGCATGGGGTGCAGCTGTAGGGGTTGGACCACAAAGCCAGTGGTGGTGTACAGCGTGCCCCAGCTACAGGCCAAGGTCAGTGCTTTCTCCACCAGCAGCACGTTTGCCTGGCTGCCGGATCCTGCTGCCGCGAGGGAGGGTGGGACAGGGGTGGAAGCAAGCCAGGCCAGGCTGCCCCACTACTTTTATTAGTTCATCCCAATCACATCGCTGTGTGCCACCGGACAAGAGTTGTTACTGAAAGGTTACACCCTGCAGCTTTCCCAGCTGCTCCCATAGCACACAGGCTGCTGGCAGTTTCGTTTTCCATTGCTTCCCTCCAGTTTGCAATCTCACTGCCTACCTGAGCACCTAAGGATAAGAAGTGCTCCCGAAGAATTCAAACTGCTAGTGTGGTGTGCCATAAAGCTGCTGGGCTGCAGGATCTGAGCCCTGATCAGCTGATGAATAACTTTGGTTGTCTGCCCCAGGCAAATCAAAAACATGACAAAAACGTGTGTAGGTTTCTTTCCACTGGTCTTCTGCACTGTCTTGTTACTCAGGATGGCCGATCCTCTGCTAGACAACTTTGTCACATAACGCCATTAGACTCTGCCATACTCAGTGTAACTCAAATAATTAAACAGCTATAATGGGATTACTACCAAAGCAGGATGGGAAGCATCATATCATTCTCAGCCAGAATTAAAGCTAATTAAACCAGCAACCTTTTCCCAGTACTGTGGTCCTATGCTAGGTTTTCAGGGAATGCAGAGATACACATTAAACATGCTGCAGAGTGCTGCAGCCGTGTAAATAAGTGCACCAACATATCTGTGTCCAAGTGTTTCCTTGAAACACTGAGAATTAAAAGTTATTTTTTAAATAACAAGTGAGATTGCCTTCTATTTGACAACATGAACGGGTCTGTTTAGAAAGCACCAAACTCTAACATCATTTGAACATATATCTACCCAAAACCTCCATTTCAGAGACGACAGAAGCAGGTGGAAACCATCAAGTTCAAGACAATTGCATGAATTTTATCTCAGGTTTTAGCTTAGCCTTAAAATTACATTGCCATACCTGTTAAGAGATGTAGGCACCATACAAACAGTTCAGTTATTCACACTGTTAATCTGAAAGCACTTTTCACTTCAGACAGGTGTACGACAAATACTGCCACTCAAGGAATGATCCCACTTTACAGTTTCAAAAATTGTTTGCTTAAGAAAATGCAATTGATGATTAGAAATAAGACCTTTCCCTCTGATCAGGGAGACAGTTTAACCCCCAGATTTTCACTGTGAATTTTCTATTTTGTTCTGCTTTATTAGCTTCAGTTTCAAAACAACATGAAAAAGAAGAGAGGGGAAAAAAAAGGCATACAACTAAAGTTAATCATAGGCATTGAAAAGGTTATGCAGCCAATGCAAATTCAAGGGAACAGCAATTCCACAGAGACAGAACCACTTTAGTGTGATTTACCAAGCAGCAGAGAGCTTGCTTTGGTTCTGACACAGAAAGGGTTTCTCTGATGGTGGTAATTTTTGTTAGAAAGTCATTCTTCAGCCTGAGGCAGCCGAAGCACTTGTGGCGCGCAGCTCACCAGCCAAACAAGGGGGGCAAACTGAACATTTATGCTACCACCACGACTGCTGTGAACCCCTCTGCTTCTGCAACAAACCTCTCTCCAGCACGCCCAGACCAGCACAAGCACCAGCAGCTACAGCTGTTTTGCTTTTTTGTAGGCTTTTCTCAGAGTAGGAGGCAGGAAAGACAGAAAGAGAGCTACCATCAACCCCAAAGGCCTAAGCCAGATCTACAGCTGTATCCAGGTGCTTAACTCTTCACCAATTTCACATGAGACTCTGCGGAGTAAATAAACACTTGTGTGGAGGCAGGTGTTGTGGCTCTGTTGCAATAGAACAATTCAGGGTGACCTCATTGTGGCTTTTCAATACTTAAAGGGGGCTTATAAAGAAGATGGGGAACAACTTTTTGCTCAGGCAGATAATGACAAGGGGGAATGGTTTTAAACTAAAAGAGGGGAGATTTAGATGAGACGTTTGGAGGAAATTCTTCACTCAGAGAGTGGTGAGGCACTGAACAGGCTGCCCAGAGAAGCTGTGGATGCCCCAGCCCTGGAGGTGCTCAAGGCCAGGTTGGATGAGGCCCTGGGCAACCTGATCTGCTGGGTGGTGTCCCTGCCTGTAGCAGGGGGCTGGAACCAGATGATCTTAAGGTTGCTTCCAAGCTGAGCTGTTCTATGATTCTGTGAATGCACTGCACACAAATAAATGCCTTCAGCGGCGGCAGCATCAGCTTCCCACAGCTGATACAGGCTAAGAAAACTTCCTACTTCTTCTGTGGCTGTCAAACAGGCCAGATCAGACAGCAAAGGTCTAGCATTTTGCATGCCTTTAGCAAAATCCCACTGAATTAACTGCCTGCCACATTTTGGAAAAATTCTAAATGTTTATGCTACACCAACTGCAATAGTCTAGAGTTGTGGGAATATTAGAATAACATCCCAGGACACTGCCAGCCCCAGGGGGGCTACACGCGGACAGCTGATCCAGAGCAACCCTCTGCACCGGATTTGGCACCCCCTTTCTGTGAGCACGGCCCCTGACACGGGTTCCTAAGTACTAATCAAATAAGAAAAAGTCCTTGGAAATTGATACAGATGGTTATGCGTATTTCTGACCAGGTTATTTTGAGGGAATAAACCATGGTGCTCTCCTCAGAAAAGTTTATCTTATTGGTATCTTTACAGACCTCCACTATCTGAGAGCTTGAAACTAACAGTGAGTACAGAAATTTACTTTTAGGCTCCAAATACTCCCACGAAAGCTTATAAATATTTTAAGACAACAAATACGGTTGCACAATAAGTAAATAAACTGTAAAGTGTAATTGAAGTCAATCTGATGGTGGATTTAGAGGGTTAAGGCAGCTCCTTTACTGCATTTGTTTGAATTTTTAATTACATTCCTCTCTGCATCCCCAGCAATCAGGTGTGATGCGGAACTAGAGAGCTCTGAATCACGTTATGCTGGGTTTGGTGCCTTTGAACAATAGCCTACTTAGACTATTTCAGAAACACAAAGCACTCGAAGTGCTTTTAGTCAAGCTAAATGTGGAATTCTACAGCAAGATTAAAATTGGGGTTTGGGCCAACAGAAGCAACCCAAGTGTCATCCAAGTGCTTGTCTAGGCAAGGCAGTGCAGAAAGGCCTGCTGCTTTGCTCCGGGCGTGCCTCCGGGCTTCATTTTTGTGATGACTGACACTTCTATTTATAGAGTGAGCACAAGGGAGTTCCTTGGAAGGCAACATTTCTGAGTATGTTTCAGTGTACACAGACCTGAGTCACAAAGCCTGTTAACATACAGTTCCTGGTACTGGCCCCTTCCATTTTATCAGGAGATAAGAGTCTTTGCTCCACCTCTGGCATACCCACTCCACAAGTGGATCAGTGCTTTGCCTAGTCAGTTTGTGTGTACATCCCTGTGGCTTCCCTGCCCATGGCGGGAGCATGGAACCAGGTAAGGTTCCCCATGGAACCATCTTTAAGGTCCCTTCCCACCCGAGACATTCTTTGATTCTGTGATATTTCTCTTTGGACTCGAGGTCTCCTGTGCATCCACGGTGAGACATACGGCTGTTCCAAGTCTTGTCCTCTTTGTCACAAAAAGGCAAACACTGCCCATCCCGTGGGAACACTGCGTGAAGCACTGAAAGTCAGAACTAAGGAAAAGACCTCTTTTACAAATTGTTTTTGAGATGGTTCATATAAAAGTACAATCAAACACTGACATCCACCCAGAGATTATTCAGGAATCTCCACAGCAATAGCAGGCAGGATAAAATTCACTTAATTATATAAGCCTGATCCTGACTATAATTGACCCAACAAGCAACTCATTGCTTCTACTGTGAAGAATCGTCACAAGCCATCAGAGACGAGGGTGAGCCTGGAAATTCCCAGCTGTCCCACTACACACGGCCAGAGGCTGAGCCCCACTTCCCAAAAGGGCTTCCCCAGCTGCACCAAGGCCCTGGCGGTGGAAAGGGTGGGGTGGCCCATCACTACGGAGGTTGGATTATCAGGCATGAACTAGACCTGTGTTTTCACCAAGCACAGAAAAAAAGTCACTGCTTGTTTTCATTGTCTTGGGCAGAGCTGCGGGCACACATCTAAAAGGCAATGCTGCCCTCTGTTATGTCTTCAGCTACTGCCGCATGGCTGCAGGTGCACAGCCAGCTACTGCCATCTCAGCCCGGGGCTTTGCACTAGCGTCAGGCGAATGCCATGGAATAAAGACAGCAAAGCTGCCTTCCTCAAGAAGCTGAGCACCTCGTGTTCCTCACGAGCCTCAGAGAATTAGAGAAGGTGTTTTAAATTCACCAAGGACAACCTAATCTACTGTAAGTTACTGCAATTAGTCCTAACCTTCATCCACTGTTTTTAGCTAAATACATCAGGTATTAAGATTTAAATAAAAATCAATATATTCACCTTGACATTTTGTGTTAGTAGCATCCAACTTCATGCATTCAGACTGGATGAAACTAGTTTTATTATCAGTTTAGAGGATAAACTGTTTTATTTTATCTTTATTTTGGTGTGTTATCTTCCTGATGAGTTCAGTACAGAAATTTCAAGGCAATCATGAGTCCAACATAACCATTCTGTATAAAATGGTGTGAGAAATAAATTTTAGAACAGAACTGTACTAGCCAAGTATTATCTCCAGATACACATTAAAAAAAAATGATTGAATTAACAGGAAATAAAGATTATTCCTTATTCATACTAGGCCTGACTCCAACACTGGTAATCGTATTGACTGTTAATAGATCCACAGATACTTTGGTTGTGCTCAGCGGGAGTACTTATGAGGGCAAATACTGCTGGGCCTTGGTAAAGGTGGGAGAACTGGGGCTTCTCTGACTCAAAAGTTTAATATTAACAAAACACTCAGTTGCTCACACCCCACAAAATGGTTTCAACTGAACAATCACGCCACTAGTCGGAGAAAGGCATACATGTGATAAAGGAGAATAAAAAGCTTATTGACGTGTTGATACATAGCTGATAAGGAAAACAAAAACCCACTTGAAAAAAAAAAAAAAAGCCACGGTTGAGTTTTAGTTGAAGTCAGAACCTGCATCTGGTCTCTTTTCTCTCCAAACATCAAGATGTTTGCAACGATGCTGAAGTTACTTCCAATCCTAGCCACCCTTGCAGGTAAGAATAACAAACTGATTGAAATGACACTGAAGTAGAAGAACTTGTTGAAATAAGAGAGCAGGTCAACCTGACTGGCAAACTAGGAAAACACTCTGGATTTATTTCTAGATGGAATGAATATTGTGGCTACAATGCCACGCTATTTTGTGGAAATCAGCAAGCTGCCCTCTGACTGGTAATAATTTTTTGCTCAAGAACAGAATTTTAGCTTTGGTAAATCAATGCTTTGCTTTACAGATAGGAGGAGGCAACGAGTTCACATGTAGAGCGCTAGACTGTTTCAAGAGGAGCCAAAAGCTGAATGTGAGAAAACCTAACCTTCAAGGCTGGTTTCATCACATTTGGCTTTTTTATCTCTTCAAGATATTCCTGGGAAATGATGCCTTGGGCTCATCCCCACCATTTTTTGGGGGGTATGCTTAACTTTAAGCATGCATATAATCATTCGGGTTTCCATGAAGTTAAGTGAGGATATAATACTTGTTGGAATCTAGGAAATATATGGTATATTAAAGATAATATATTATTCATATTTCAAAGACAATTTATTGTGCTAAGCTTTACTTTTAATATATGCAGTAGTAAATATTTTAAGTCTAATTCTCCAGGAGGAGATGAACTGTGTCCACTAAAGAAAATGAAAGTTAGATTACGCGTTTTCTTTTCAAGATGGAATTACCTATTTTGAATGCCAAAGAAATAATTTAAATAGTTGCTCCTAGTATTTCAATGTCACCTCTCTCACGCACACAAACTCCACAGATTTTTGTCTTAGAAATTAAAAGGAATTCAGTGCTGGTACAAATACTTTGCAAAACAATGTCCTCCAATTCCACAGTTGTGGACTTAAGGCTAGCAGTGTGGCCATAGCAAGGGGAACCACTGACTGAAGGTTTCTGGGGAGGCCAGCAAAATATCAGCAAACTGGTATTTATTTGTTAGCATTAAAAACTTCATGGGACTGCAATGAAAGTGGATGATTCCCAGTTAACTGCAGTCACTTTCTCTGTAGCAAGGAAATGCTCACACAGTTATATTGCTGAGTAAAAGACAGAGCAATGGTTTAACAAGAAGTTATAGTCCTGCTCACACTAGCCTTTTTTATGGGGTCACTTTTTACTCATGTGCTTTTTTCACTGAAATCAAAAGGGCTGTATGGATGAGATGGGATTATGAGTTCGAAACCATAAACAGTGAATTAAACACAAAGCAAAGCTCTCTCTAACTTCCGTGATGTGGGAATAGGCTGTGCGGTTCCAGCTTACTCCATTTCCCGTCAAAAGCACCATCTTAGAATTAGCAGTGGCTTTTAAAAACCTTGCTGGACAAATAAAGTTTTATAGGTTTTGGCCTTATATGTTTACTAGAACTATGCTAGTGTATTTCAGCTGAATGTATTTATCCTAAACATATGACTTTATGGAAGATGGAGTCATTTCAGCTAACTTCTTGTGGAAAAGCTTGTAATATTCAAGCTGTGGCACTCCTGACTCCAGACACAGAGAGTGATGAAGGAAACACACAGAGCAGATGACTGGAAAAATTATGTTTTCAGTAGTTTGCCATTGTGTTGAAGGACCATAGCTTAATTCCAATGAAGAAGAGAAAATTAATGCACATACGTGCAAGTATTATTGTGGCAAGAAACTATAATCTTCTGGCCAACTCTAATTGTTAAAGCTGAGAACAATGAACTGAGACAGCTAAAATAACATTACATGGTTTTCATATTAGATTACAGTAAGGATTAAGCTATTGGGAACTCACAGGACAAGCAGGACCTACAGATAGCACTGGGATGCCCTCTTTCCCCAAGGCAGGATCCACACTAATTTAGGTCATTCTGCAACCATTCCTGTGAGACTGTCCTCACATACAATGCAAATCTCGCTGCAGTTAAAGCTCGCTAGTTCTAATCCTAGCCAACACTGATATGGAAAGTGGATTATTGCCTTCTTCCTTCCACTGAATTTCTAACACTCAAGCTATCAAACAAGGAAGTCAGACTCCAAAGATTTTAGGTTGAGATAGGCTTGCCTACTGTAGGAGCTGATGGATCTGCAACATTTGCATGGTTAAAAATGCCAAAATAAATTCTTTCTTAAACTATGTTTTCTCTCATGTGGGTGATAGTGATAATTCGAGCAAAATATTCTTTTGATGTTGCTGAAGGTTCTGCTTAAATTCTAAAAAGCAGCACCCTAGCCTAAGATGCACAGATATTCCATTAAGAGAAGAATATTTTGTATGTTTACCTCTGTCACTCATACATTGGAAAAAAAACACAACTTCTGCGTGGAAGCCATAAGGAACCTAAACATAAGCAAAGTAGTTAGCAAAAGGAAAATGGAGAAGGGCTGCTAGGCTCCAAACTGGGGGAACCCAACAGTGCCACTGAGTCAGAAACAGAACGTAAGAATACAAGAAGAGACAACGCTGTAGCAGATGGTGAGCCACGGATAAAGATCAGACATCTAAAGGAGTAACTGCAGAAAAGAAGGCAAGAAAGGTGTAAGCGAGGCCTCAGGACAGCTGTGAGCGAGAGCGTGAGGTTCAGGAGAGCACTGAGAGTGCAGAAGAAAGGTTCCGTTGAGCCGCAGGCTCTCAGTGAGAAGACAAGCCTCTGCAGGTGGGAACAGGCCTGCTTTCAGCTCTGCTTTGTCAGAATATTCTTGGTTTTAAGGGGACAGCTATTCTGGGGATTTACGTGCTTGTTAGCTTTACCCACTCCCAGCTCGTTATCATGAAAACTTCCCCATCAAGCCCAAGGGAAACTGCTGAAAGGAGAAGGACAGACATCTCCTTCAGGTTGTTTGGATAAAGCAGGAGCAAGGCTCTCCTGCCCTGCTCCCCGAGCTGGCCCCAGCAGGTCTCTGCTCACCATGCTTACTGCCCACAGGTCACGCCGGCAGCGTTGTGGTGACCGTTCCTGAGAAGATAGTGAATGTCACGACGGGCGGCAACGCAACCCTCCTCTGTACGTACACAAGTTCTCAGCCGCTGGGAAATTTCTTTATCCAGTGGAGCTTTTACAGTGCCAAAGAGAGCCAGCTGCACACCGTAAGATATTTATTTGTTATTAATTTGAAGATATGTTTAAGATGTCCTGATGTCCTTAAAGAATCTTGTTATGTTTTATAGCGTTATCCTTGCTAATCCTGGGGGCAGGTAACATTGGTGTTCCCACAGTAAAGACAAAGGACTGAGGTGCAGTGAATTTTAGGGCAGATGTACAAAGCTACTGAGGCTCCCAATTCCTACTGCATGCCTGGGCTCTCATGGAAACTTATGAGAAGGTAGGAGAGGCATTCAGATGCTTCAACAACTTGCTCTAAGTCACACAGGAAGCGTGACGTGGAGTAAAGCTGAGGTGTCCAAAAATCACACAAGTGCTCTGGCCCCTGGACTAGCTCCCTTTTCTCTTGTCTGGCAGACACTTCCTCCTATTGTGAACGTGGTTTTCCTGGTGAGACGCCCTTGCCTATGACAATGCGTTCCCCACCTCAGGGTCAAATGCGAGCTCCATTAGCGCTGCTATTGGGTGGCTCGGACGAGAGCAGTGCGTAACAGACCACCAGCCCAAGTCAGCAGCAGTAGTGGGAAATCTGCCCCAGTTAACTTGGGTTAGCATTTCGCAGCATCCCGTGGGTGTCACTGCAGTAGCAGAACAATTACAGATCAAAGGCAAGTGCTCCCTGCCCTTCCTGAGACCAGCAGCTCCCCCTGCAGCAGTGCAGCGTGGTAGGATGGAGTATCAGCATGGAGAGGGCCGCGGGACTGTGCAGGACACCAAGTACTAGGCAGCTGCCTGCTGTAAGCATTGCCCCAGCCCCTCACGTGGCTCTGAAGGCCTTGCAGAGCAGCCTGGACTGTCTCCAGGGAGTCAGGGATGGGATGTGCAACTTCTGTACATACCCACACTAGCAGTCAGACTACGAGAGCTACCAATGATTCCAATGTTTGGGTGTGAAATTAATCCAGCATAACACACAGGTTCTGAGTTCCCCTTAGCTCACCCAGCAAGGTGCTGAGCAGTCAGCAATGCTTTCCTTTATAAGAAGAAATGCTGCTTAGAAGTGTCACTGCATCCTTGAAGACTGTGACTTCTTTCGACACCCTAGTGTCACGCTTGGCCTTTAAGACAATCAGTCCGTTCCCCCTCCTTCCCCCCTAGTTTTAACATTACTGCTAACATTTTTTTCCTACAAGTTCAATTTTCCTGCTTGGTGTTACACCTGAGAACTGATGTAAACAGGTTTGACTTAGATCACTGGCACAGCCCACTCTGATGATATTCCTATCGTGTTTAACAACTTCCTAATAACATTACACTCGGAGGTTTGCCACGGCTGATAGAGTTATACCTTCTATTCAGTTTATCAATTAGAGCAGAATTAGACTGTGTGCAATTTGCAGAACGTACAGTACTTACTACATTTGGCACTGAGCAATAGCCAGTATGCAAGCAAGAGCAATTTAACACAGGTCATGGGGAACTGCTTACCCTCCTGCTGTATGTCATAGCCATAGATAAAGCCTCTAGCAGTGACAAGCACAAACAGTGGGCCCGTCCCAAGTTCTGACTCCAGCTAAATGACAGACTGATATATGCACACCTTCCTGACTAATTGTATGAGTAGTTGTTACTCATATCATTTGCTTTTTTCAAGTCAAAACTGTTCTTAAATAAAGAATTACTCACAAAAGGGTGGCAGCTTCACGTTTCCTAATTTGTACATAGAGTAATGCATTATAATTTTGATCCAGTATGTTGTAGCACAGACTTCAATCACTCCTTCAGGTGGGAAGCACAGCACCAAGACAGGATCGAGCCCATATTCTCCAGATTCAGTTACAGTCTCTCCATTTTACTTGCGTTAGATTTTCCTCATTGCAAGACAAAAAATGAAATACATTTTCTGACCACAACCAGGAAAAATAAGAAGATTATAGCTGAAAGTATTTCAGAGGGAGCATGGGACAGCATCAAGAGATCCAAGAGGGGAAAAACCATTTGTAAGCTGTGATGGATGATGAGAAAATATCCCCTAAGGAATGTAATCAGAACATACTGTGGGTGGTTTGGAATATGCTCCAAAAAAGAAAAGTAACTGATGCGAGGCTCCAAAATGCCAGGGAAATCTCACGGTTCAATCTCTTTAGCACTCAGTCCCGGATTTTGCAGCTCCCCCTGAATTCAGTGGGGAAGCTGTGCCTAGAAGGACTGGAAAAAATGCATCTGGTTTTCTCCCCATTTGGTACTAATTTCATGGTAAATTCGCTTTCACACCACAGCACATATCCATTGGTAATGGATGATCTGCACTGTCATTAAATAAAGTCGATACAATCTAGCAAGGTGATGGGGTAGTGCTAATCCCATCCTCCTTGAGGACAGAGGCAAAACTTCCCTTCACTGCAGTGCCTGTTATCCTCAGCTCTACACTCAGCGAGGCATGGAGAAAACCCTTCCCTCTGCTGATGTATTCAGAGGGTGCATGCATGTGCAGAGCTGCAGGACTGGGGTGCTTTAATTAAATTGCTTTTAGCAACCCATTCAACCCTGTATTACTTGGTCCCGAAGCTTTTTACTGCAACACAGTGATTCCTCAGTGTTTTGAACCTATTCACAACAAAAGTAATCGTGTTAATACAAACAGTGGTAAGAAAGGACTGTGACTGCTTGTGAAAAATACCAATTTAAAGAAGTCACACAACACAGATGAACATGGAATCGGATTTTCAACCTGTCTAAACCCACAGCAATTTGAGGCTGCTCTTTCCATTTCGCACTGGTGAGTTTTCTGGGTTTCAGAAAGGACAGAGTGCCTGGCAGCATGTATACTTTTCACCTACAGGTTTAAACAAAAATAATCTTTGTCTCTACAAACCTGGCTTTGCCCTGGTTGCTTGGCATGCAGCTGAAGTTAAATTTCATATTTTCTTCCTAGTAGAAAGTATATGCATGGCAACGGAAGAGACTGCCAGCTTTGGCTTACGTTGTTTAAAGAATACCAAAATCAAGTCAAAAATATATTCAATATACTGGTGAGCTGACAAAAACAATGGAATTGAACATGTTGGCACTATAGTTTACTGAATACCAGAACAGCAGCTTGCATTTTAAGTTGGATAAAATTATTAAATTTTATTATATACTTAGATTCGTCTAACACATCTCAAATAAATCATGAATACTTCCTTATAATTAGCATCTATTTTCTCCAGAAAATTTTATTAAAAATTATACTGTTATTAAAAAATTGCCATTTTTTCAACAATTAAATGGATAAATTTTCAGCTCCTTTTTTTTTTTTTTTTTTTTTAGAGTAGAAAATGTCTGCCAAATATTTTAAAGATAGGAGACTTACAATTTTTCAGAAAGCTACAGAAAATACTTGTTATCTCACCTGTTACAATCCTAAATATTCCCAGCACCTCACTAAGTGCTCGCTGTCTTGAGGACCCCGTTATTCATGTGGCTAGTATAAAAAGAATTAATAGGGGCACATTCTCCATAACAAACATAATGAAATCTTCATCCTAATAAATAATGTGTCTTTACATAACTGGTAATACGGCCATTTCTTTCTGCAGTGGCAGCAAATAATAAAGCTAACACTGTAGAATGTTAGAATTAATTAAGGCAAATTTAGATTCTTTAGATTCAAATTAAGATTCTTTTGGCTTTTAAGATTAATGAGTCTGAGCTTTAGATTATTAGATTTTAGGACATTATATATATATTAAGTATGGAGGCCATAGGTGTCCTTTTAAAAATAATATTATTGTTTTATACCGTCATGTTACAAATTTTGCAGTGTTCTGAGATATGTGAGCTCAGTCGCAGTTCTGTTTCGAAGGAAATCAATAAGATCAGTGTGAGGACTGGTGCCAGTGCTAATTTAACACCCCGGAGTATTCAGCCACAGATTTTACCTTGCTGCAAGCTTAGGCAGCGCTGTACATCAGTGCACAGACCCAATGCTTCCCAGCGCTTGCTTTGTGAAGCTGTCTGGCGTGCTTTGCTGTTTGTTGTGGTGTTTTCATATCCTGTTCCCCTTTGCCACAATGCTGGTGCAGGTGTTCAGCAGCTAAAAGCCATGGCAGTTACACGGGCGGGGAGGAGATGCCGCAAACAGCCAGCTGCTCGCTGACACTGCGATGAGAAGGAAGGCAGCAAACAGGGGAAAGGCAGGTGTTTGCTGGGCTGGTTTGAAGACAGTGCAGATATATGTAGTGAGGAATATTAAACTTTTCTCTAATTGGAGCCTAATTCTGCTCATATCCTGAGAAGTTCCACCAGTGGAAGTAATTCTCTTTATTTGAACTAAATACTGTAAATGTCAACTAATGGAAAATGGGAAGTTATGTGTATTTTTACTTTTTTTTTTTTTTTTTTTGGTCTTTTTCACCCTAGCAATATGTCTTTTTAATGATGAATTTTATTTTTAAATAGCTGCTCCCAGCCAAGGATCTTGAGAAATTTCCAACTACCCAACTCTCTGTACTTTACCAATAGACAAACTGAGGCAAAAACTACTTATTCAGCTCACCCAGAGTAACAGAATATATCACAGCCTGGTCTGCTTCCTAAGGTAGAGTCACAGCTCCTGCTAAGATCTACATCTGTGCTTCATTTTATGCTCTGAGTCACTCGGCTGACCTCAGTATAAAGCACCTAAATAAATGTTTGAAAGACTGAAGCTTTCTGTTGACTCTGCACAGGCGAGGCTGCAGCCTGGCAAACCTAAATCCAAGTCCTGAACCCAACCAGCATCACACCTTGAGCGTCCAGCCCAGGCCACCCACAGTTAAAGCAAGTGAAATTATCAGAGACTCTGCATGGCTACCCAAGATATGCTCGCTGCAGTATTATTGATGAAATTTTGAGTTAACTAGAGGAGTAAAGGAAAGGAATGGCTGTTGTTTGCAAGAGATGCTGGGTGAATTATTGATACGCCTCTCATGGAATCGTTCTCTTAAAAAAACCTAACTTGAAATACTTGCAAATGATGACATTAACACTGCTTTGGCAAAACTGCTGATGGATGATAGTG